CTAATTCCCCCTTCAAGTTTTATATTAAATATCTACCACATCAACATTTACGTAAACTACATCATTGGAAAATGTGTGATAATGACAGTAATTCCGGTATAGACAAGATTGTCCCTCTTGTGTATTTGCATTGTCATCTTTTTCTCCTAATAGGGCAAATAGAAAATTCCCAATTCACTTCTGACATTGATATACCCTTGGTATTCTGTTGTGTACTTCATCATATTTGATTGATGGTTAGATATTATTTCTAATTATATTCGGCATGTCATGTGATGCAGTATTTCTGAGATTCCCCTAGGGTAGTTTCCATGCTGAGATAAAGGAAAAACACAATTATGATATGCCAATACTGAGTATCGGTAGTGTCCCAGTTTTGAATGTTTATATGAAATGTAAAAATATTCATGATTATTATTATTCCATGCTAACATTCCAGCACAGAGACCACAAACGTCATTGTTGAATGTTCCACTTGAATGCCTTGATATCCTTCAAAACAGTAACAAATTAATTTTTCTTCACAATTTCAAATCAGGCAAAGTTAATATTAGATGATTTGACATTGAAATTGGGTGCCCTTGGAATACTGAAGTTTGAGAGGTGTGTAAAATAAATAGATGTCTACTACCAATGATGGTTTTCAGGCAGAGATTCTGCGACTAGTACGAGATAAAAGTTGATGAGAAATTTTCGGAGCTGTAAATTTGGCAAATGCAGTTGTGGCTGCAATAGGATTTATAGTCTCAATCTCAATAAGACAATTACCTGCAATAAGCTACAATCTGTTGTCCACTACCATGTTATTTATGGGAGGACTATTATTAGAATTTATAGTATGTTCTTTGTAATACAGGGAAGGCCCCAGCATAAAGGTCATCAAGGGAATTGAGGTACCAGACAAGTATGATTGTTCAATAATTGTGTAACCAGGCTAGGGGGTATTTGAAAATTAACTAAAATAAATTTGTGTGAAGTACTGAACAGTTCAGTTCTTTGTGTCATTTTAGTAGTCTAAAATTATGGTGATTTTCTTTATAATTTGTGTGTAAATAACATTCCCAGCTACCATTAACTTGGTTGAGCTTGAGCTACAGTGTGCAATGTAGTAATTAAGTAGGACCAAAATATGGAATTTTTTAAAATAAATATGAATTTATTTGAAACGATTCTTTGTGGTATTATAATGTCTTTTAAGAAGAAAATATTGTCTTGACAAGACGGGTGTTATCAAGCCTAATGTTAAGAGGATTAGTTGTCCCATGAGTAATATGTACAAGTCATGACGATAAAATGTTGTATTAAATGTTATGAAGCGAAGTTTAATCCTCAGGAATTTTTTAGGCTATATGTGTAGTATTGTTAAGATGTCTTCCGTAATGTGTAGTATTACTACTACCATATGACCTAAACTTTGTTTATTTAATGATACTGGATTGTTCATTCATTGCTTATATGATGGGTGGGGTGTCATCATTTAATGGTGGCCTATGGTATGTAAGTTTATGATTGGTAGAGACAACACACTGTGCCTAAGCTACCCACATTCTTGCATGATTCCGTCAGATTGTAATATAGCCTTGCAGCTCTATATTGTGCTCTGAGAAATGACATGTTTATTTGATTTGGTTGTCGAGTTGTTTGTAAACATTTTATTTTGGAATTTAAATTGGTTAATTTGTTTTTAAATGGCAGAACTGTGCTGTAGCCTCAAATTGATGGGGTGGTAAAATAACTGCCTCTTTAAGAAACCCCTGTTGTGTTGTATAGACTTCAAAGTTCTCGGGGGGGGGGCATTGAGTAATTTGAATAACACTAAAATATGTTAATCGCCCATTGTTTTGTTCTGCTAAATTGGCTCTATGGTTTATCCAAAATAAGAGTTGGAAAGCCTTCTTATATAATGCCCTGGGAGAGCCCCGACATGTTCTTCCTTTCTGGTCATTTGACTTTACTTGAACGAGTCAGAAAACAGAGACTTATAATCTAACCCCTGTGGTTTTGTCAGTCTGTGCGTCAGTTCGCACATGTATCTTGAACATGGACTGATTCTCACTTAACATGCAATAAATGCCATTTCTAATTTATGTAAACCTCTATTTGAGATGTGATGCTAATGAAGCAAATAGGCTATTTTAAATGAACGGTATTTTTTATTTATAGCCTGAGTTTGCGGATCTATTAGTATATTAAACATGTGGTATACCGATCCTAACTCGCTTGTAAATATTATGCTTTTTTTGTTCACCCACTTTTGTGTGCACATCACTTGTTAATGATCCTTCTAAGATCACTGTCATGGATAATGTAAGCAATGGTCTCTAAATTGACCAATAAAAATACCATTACTTAGTGATGAAATTGACAGTCATAAATTACTACATGTATATTTGATACTAGAGTACATCACCCATATCCTGTAGGTGGGAGGAGTTTGTTATTCTGTACTATGCTCTCATGACCCGTTTCAACTTAAAAGAATTGTTGGTAATCAGGGTTTTCGTTACAAGCCGGTCGCCGGCTTATTTTCCGTTTACACAATCTCGCACGGCCTTCTACTGTTGCAGAATTCAATTGCAGGTCTAAGGTCACACCTGTTGTCACATGGTTGATTTGAAAAATGGCGTCCAAACGTAGGATCGCACAGGCAAACAAGACGGGAATAAAATGTATAAATAAAACGATCACAAATAAAATCTTTCACAATAAACAAATTACTATTTTGGCCTTTATTTAAACCACATGCCCACATGTAAAATGAACAAAAATATATTCTACGGAGGGGGGACATCCCACTCCTCCCCTCCCCCTTCCCCCGCGAAAGCAACATGCTCGCATTGAGCTGCGCAGCCGTTGGGAGCCTCCTACTATTCTAATTTAGCCTCCTACTTTGAAGGTTAGGGAAACCCCTGGCTAATAAGCTTCGCATAAAGCCAAATAAAATTGGTTGATTGAAAACAAAAATAAGTGGTAGGTTGATAGGAATAACTTTTCATTTTATGAAAATTAATGAATTATTCTCAATTCATTATTCCACACTGCTGCTTGGCCCATACTGTTATACGAGAGTTTTTTTTTCAATAATAAATCACATTTTGCATGTACAAGCTGACGTTTTGGTTCGAAAATAAAGAATTTGAGGTGTCTGAAAGGAGTGTCTACAAGTGCCCACTTTACAGTTTGGCCATAAAAAGATGAATGGACGGCCTGAAAAATTAAGGTTGGGTTATTAAAACACGTTATTTTTTTTAGTCTAATCAAGAAGATTGTTCTTCAATGCCACACCTCTGTATTGTCATCGTTTTGATGACTTGCAGCACTTCTATCATTAAATTAGCCAGAGGGATGTAGTCTCATGTTCTGTTTCTGTCCTAGGTGTGTGGTGAAGAACACCTTACTTAGTCTATTCTAGCTGAGCTATTTATCTGTTAATAATTGTTATGTAATTTGAAATTGTATGTTATTATATTGGTTACATGGCAGAGATCAATGTTTTCGGTGTTCATCTGTTGACTGGGCCATAAACCCTGGAGTATTATTTGTATAGATGTATATTGTTGGCTGTGTATGTGACTAGATTTACAATTTGTAAATTAAATTATAATGTCAGAATCTTGGAGCCTTCCCATCTAATTTGCATTCAGTTCCTGTCCTGTTTGTAATTTTCTCTATGCTACATTATGTGTCTCGTGTTTCAGCCTGTCATTGAAATTACTTGTTTCCTTGACAGCTTTGTGCATATGCAATTGTTTTGCATGTCACTAGGGTGGTGTTGAAGATTACGCAAGGCAATTTTTCAGTTATTAGGCTTTCCTATATGGTTCTTTGTGATTTGGTATGAAAGTGTAAACACCTAGTGCTGATATTGATGATGGGAAAACTATTTTCAATG